TGATTATTTTTGGCTTCACAATTATAATATAGAGCAATGGTCATTTAGGCTAATTTCGTAAGACTTAATCCAAAATAAAGAGGTTAAAGCGGCAAAAAATGGATGTAAATTCTAATAGGTTCTTTATTTTCTTATAAATATAAACTAGTAGATACATTGTTTCTTGTAAAAACTAATTAAACAACAGTTACATTATTTTCATAATATGCATAATATCATTTGTTAAAAAAAAAAAAAAAAAGATACTAAGAGGAAATTGGACTAATCCCTAAACTTGTTTAATATAGAGCAATGGTCGTTTAGACTAATTTCGTTAGACTTAATCCAAAATAAAGAGTTTAAAGGGGCAAAAATGAATGTAAATTCTATTGTAGTTAGTCAAAATGATCATTGCTCCATATGATAACAAGTTCAAGGACTCATACTCGATCACGAAGTTTTAGTTCAGTGGCCAAACCTCAAGTTAAGCAAAGTTCATAAACCATTTCTCCAATTATCTTAAGCCACATTATACTGTTGTCTAGTAATATTTTTCTTTACTTGTAAGTGAGAAGTCTTATTGTCGTCAAAGGCAAATTCGGACCAAATTATCACAGTTAGCCTATTATAAGGCTTAACTGACTCTCCCACAAAAAAAATAATTTTTAAAAGCCCAAAAAACATAGTCAAGAGTGAAGTTTTGCGTTTCATAACTAGATAGCTATGAGAGAGTTTTCTCATTTGAAGATGCCTGTGGAACTACGTTCATATCCCCGTATAATGCACTCACTTAAAATGTATAGTCAACACTCTCTCTGAATATAGTGACTTTATAGGCCACGAAAAGACAAAACACAAAATTAGGCGCATTTGTTAAAGAACATAAGCCTAAAAAGAAACAAGTACAAATTTAGGGTTAAATAGAGGACCAAATCAACTATTATACTAGTTTTGGAACCGAAAATAGAACTCCCAGTCTTGTTCTCCTGGACCTTGGGAGGTTAAAAATCGTGGTCACCTATTGTCGGGGACGGATTCACCTTCAGGTAAGGTGGATCGGTTGACCCTCCCAAGCTCAGAAATCTTCTATGGAAGAACTAGGTGTTGCCTTTTGGAAATTTGAGATATTCTTGAAAACTGCTCTCCAACTACTCGACGAATTACCTGTATGGACACTGGGTTGAGTAGATGCTAGTCTCGTACTTTTATATGCATTGTTATGAGCATTTGTCGGTAAGCTCACTCGGCGTACATTAGCATATGCCGACATGCTCACTCAAAAGCCATTGACATTAGTTGACATGCTCGTTTGGAAGTTGTTGGCATTTGTCGACAGGCATGGAATATGACTTGATAAATGAGCCCGAGCCTACCAAGGCTCAATGAAATGCCAATTTTCTTGTGATTCCGTTCAAAAAGTTCTACACGCTGCTCGTGCTAGTCTTACTGAGTCCCGAAAATAATATTTCTTGAATCCGTCACTGCCTACTATTCGATAACAATTATGATCATTTGACATTTGTTGTTACTTTCTCTTCACAGGTAAACTAAAACCAAACAATAAGTGACCATGATTTCCTTAAAGCTTGGACTTCAGAAGAACTGGACCCATGCAACTCCATGAAAACACATTTGTTACTGAGTCTCATTGTGACCAACAAGACAAGGATGGTAGACTTGCAAATATACCCCAAAAATACGCATTTATTCAAATTATTAGAAAATCCAGCAGGAGATTACCATAAAAAATAAAATAAAATAAAAAAAAGAAAATTAATCTCAACAAAGAAATTAACAAGAAATCTCTCATTAAAAAAATTATTACATCCATAATACACACAAAAGCACTACAACAAATGAAATAAAGCAAAAGATGTAACCCACCTTACCATCATTATCTCAGCTACAAATCAGTCAACATATCCTCCAAAAAATAGTCATCTATCGAACCGAACCCATTAAGCAATTCATCAGAAAACTCAATATCCTCGTAAATATTGGAACTCGAATTCAACTCCCTTCCCTTCGACGACGTCGTCATGCCCTCCTCCTCATCCTCTTCTTCCTCCTCCTCATCATCATCCTGCTCCATAGCTGTCACAACCTTACTCCCACCACCACTCTTCTCGTCCTCAACCGCCGGCATGTGACCTTCGAACAACGCCATGTGTCCGAACAGTTTGCTCTTCCTCGAGAAGCTCGTGCCGCACGTGCACCGCCACCTAGCCTCGCCACAATGCTTCAAGTGGCTCTTCAAATCCGCCACCACCGAGAAGCTTTTCTTATTGCACCTGTTACACGAGTACATTTTTGGGCAGTGGCTCCTCTTGAAGTGATTCTTCACGCAAATCACCGATTTTAACGGCCGGAACTTCCCGTGCTCCTTGTTCCGGTTGCACCCGACGTACGGGCACGAGAACCGGGAATTCCTGCTCGACTGGGCCGGGGTCTTATCCGGTTTGGCCAACGCCTCGGGGGTCTTGAACCGGTTCCCGTGAGCCCGCATGTGCATTCTCAAATTCGCGTCTCGCTTGAACCCTTTCCCACAAATCTCGCAGTAATGGATGTGCTCCGCCAGCAGCTCCATCGCGTCCACCTCCACGATCTCACCTCCGTCTCCGTCACCCTTACCGCTATCGTTCTCTTTTACCTCTTTCTTGACCTCGGGAACCTCGATTTGAGCGGCAGGTGTTCGGGTCGGGTCGGAATAGGGTATCGGGTTCTGAGAGAGAGCCAACAGAGCGGCGCCGTTTGAGATGATTTCGTGGATGGCGGAGGCGATGCCGGCGGATACCATATCCATCTGGTCCTTGCTGACTAGAGCGTTGGCGTGGATTGAATCAGTGAGGAAGTACTGCAGGGAATCCATTCTTGTTCGGACCATCGAGAGATTCCGGAGCGGGACTGCCGGGTCCGTGTCCTCATTCAAAGACTCGACGGAGCTCTCCGGCGGAGTATGAAAAGGTTGACGCGGAAACGACATAGTGCGGACACGATCACAATCTCAACTCTCAAGACTCCATCTCCAAGAGTTCCTTTTTGTCAATACTTCGTTGTGAAGTGCTGCGAAGCACGAGCAGAAATCAGCACAAAGATGGGGGCCACCGAGCAGGTGGCAAAGGTGGGGCCTCACGGAACACGTGGCAAAGGTCGGTCATGTGGAGCAGTTGAATGAGGCGGAGAAATGTGGTATTGTTGGTTCTGGGTGCTTCGGTTAAAGTCTCCACTTTGTAGTATAAAATAGGTGGTGGAAGCTAAGAAGCTTCGTTTTCAGTATTATATGTTATAAGCCCATTGCATCAGGTGAAGTGCTTTATTGGCCAAGACACATCCAAACCCTCTCGATTCTGGAAGCTTTCCATACCAGGTGCTTCATAATTCGAGGGACGCCTTACAAAAAAACAACTTTCTTTTAAGTGTATAATAACATGAAATGTTTTCTTCTGTATTTTAAGTATATTAAAAAATTTCTTTAAGATAACCTCGAGGGGTTTTTTAGCAAAAGTAAAATCAAAAGTTAAATTTAAACTTTAAATATAATGGAACAGACACAATATCTTACTCAATTAACATAATCCACATATGCATAGATAACGTGAATTCTTGCATGAATGATGAATGTGCATATCGTATCATGTTTTTACTTTTTTAAATTATGAGCTACTTAACAACAAAACAGTGAACCATTCTTTTGAATCATGTGATATGCCATGTTGTAAACACGTTTAACCGTCGGATGCGGTACTCCAGAATTTTTTAGTGTTTTTTTAACGGGGCATCAACATGCCAATGGTGTTCTTCAATTGGATCCTGAAGAAGCAGGCTCGTATCTCAGTACATTATTTTTCTTAAAATATACTTATATTTGTCATTATTGATAGTAAATTATACAAGAATAGTACTATTTATATATCTATTTTTATTTCTTACACACTTTTTTTTTGTTTTCAATTTTCAAATTGAATGAATTAAAAAAAATCAATAATTAGAATTTAATAAAAATGTGTAGAAAAATAAAAATAAGTATGCGATCCATTATACAATGGATATATGATGGTGTACTAATATTTTACTCCAACAATAGGGCAAGAAGCACACCAACCAATGAGGGGAAATGGAAAAAGTTATGCACACTTAATCAAATTTGAAGGCAATAATGTAGGAAGATATTATATATACTAAAACCCAGTTGCTGATCACTGTTCATTAACAGTGCCCACCCGGTTTTGTCCCTTGCCTGCTGAGCAATTTTTTGTCCTTTTCTGAAATTGTGCAGTGAGTTGGCCATTTTGCCCTTTCCGCTTTCTGGTGCCATTCTCCATCATCTGCTGTTCTTTGCTTTTAAAAACCCAAACAATATTTTTATAATTTTTTCCCTTTTTGGCGCCACAAACTATGCCTGACAACTATAATCATTTGTTTTGTCCTGCAGTCTATTTGTTTATTATTTTTTTGTCCAAAAACCAATGTATTTATCCACGGGGTAAAACAATTGTTGATTGTTCTGTTTATTATATATATATAATTGTTTTTCTCAAGAACTCCCTCACCGACTGTTGCAGCTCTTTCTGAAAGAGGGTTTTCTTTTCTATGCATGTTATGATTTTATTTCTCTCTCACTGTTTCTTTTCCATTTGAGAAAGAGGCAAGAGGAAAAGGGGGATGCCATTGCCATTGCCGTTGTCTGGTGGTAGCAACGAAGGCCCATTCCTCGAAAAAGGGATAATAAATGCAAAGTGGCAGAGAAATATACATACATGTGTGTGTATATACTAATACTCAACAACATAAAATTACTGTTCATTAACAGTAAGCGGACGAAAATGCCCTCCAATTCATTTGTTATCTGCCCATTTTTTTCTTTTTTTTAACAGTAAAAAGACGACTTTGCCTTTCATCTCCACCTGTCGATCACTCCTCAGCTTCTGTCATTTTCAATGGCATAAATGCCCTCTGTTTCTTCTCCATTATGCCGTTTGTCCACGCGTCGCTCATCGCTCCACATTGACTACTTCTCGACCTTTCTTCTCTACTTTTCCCTCCGTTCCACTTTTCTCTCTCACAATTCCCTTCTTCTGTCGCTCTTGAACCTCGATTCCTTTCGCTCTCCAAGGCTACCTTCTCTCCCTCTTCCACCGTGCGATCTTTGTCTCACAAATTACCAACCACACTTTCTTGCTAAAAAAACCTTCACTGCTTTCTCTGTTGCTAGAGGTTGCTTTCTCTTCTGCTCCCGCAGGGCCTTCAGTTCTCACTTAGATTCCAGAGTAGAAGCCCATAAAGCTAATATGGCAAAGCGAGAGCTTTCCAGCACTCTCAGGAACTTAAAAGGTGAAAAGAAACGATAAAATTGCAATTTTTTTGGTTTTTTATTTATTTTTAGTGTTAATTTCTGATTAAATTATTATTTTTGATAAACCCTTTTAGAATCTGATCTAGGTTTTGCTTAAATTCATCTTGGTGTTGTTTAATTTTGAGTTATATAATTTTCTGGTGGACCTTTAATTGTATTTACAGATTAATACAACGTAATTGGGTTAGTTTTTTTAATTACTGTAGTTTATGCAAAGAGCAACTTAGAAAGAGGTGAAGAAAGAAGAAGATGTCAAACCATACCTTATCACCTCAGGTACCTTTTAGACCTATTGCATGTCAAAATCAGCTTCAAATTTGTGATTTAATATAGTTGAATTTTAACAAGTTTTTAGTGATTTTGTAGAATTTTACGTTTAATAACCAAGTGGATTACTTTACTTGGTTGGACCTGTTTTTATAGCTATATTTCAACCTTTCCTCTGATGGCTTTTAACGATTGGATTTCTCGAGTCTACTTTCCATGCTTTGACCATTTCATTTGGCAGAGGGTTCTGGGTTTTGGAGAATTCTTCATTAAATTGGTGGGTTTGTAGAATTGTACCCTTATATTTCTGGGTTTGGTTTTATGTCAGTTTAGTAAATTTTTTTAGGTTTTGCAGAATTTTTTGTGATTAAATTTCTGGGTTAAGTAGCGGTTTTTGAGGTTGTGGTCTCCGAAAAAAGGTAATTTTTACATTAATTCTGTGAAAATTTGTACATATCAATGTGTTAGAATATTTAAGGGAATTTAAAATAAAATATGGTATTGGTATTGGTGGGGACGATGTATGGGAATTTTTCAAGGATTATTGGAATCTCATGGTAAGGAGTGATGTAGAAACTAGCTGCAGCAATTGATGCAGGTTTCCTTTCTATGAAGCTGATTTTGGATGGGGAAAGCCACCATGGGTGACTTCAGGTACGGAGTTCAAGAATCTAATTGTGTTAATGGATACACGAGATGGAGATGGCATAGAAGTATCCTTGAATCTCAAGGAAGAAGACCTGGCCATATTTGAAAGCACTAAGGAGCTGCTTGAGTATGCATCTTTAAATCCAACTGTAATTTTGTTTATTATTGTTGAACCTTTTATGATCTTTCATTGTTTTGTTTCTTGCTTCTGTTTTTCTTAGGTGTGTGCTAAATTGGATGTTGGTTTGGTTGTTTCCAATCTTTCCCAACGACTTTCAATACCCAATAGAGAATATGAAAAACCCAACTTTAATTTTGTAAATTTTTTGTCCTAAATGAAGGTAACATGGGAATTTGTTCCGAATGGTGTTCAAAGAACTTCAAACTCAACTTTGTCCTGAATGATGATCTGTTCTCTGGATGTCTGATATCAATTTTTTATCTGCTCAGAGTGATCTGATTTATATCTTTTGCTAGGGTGCTAATGTGCCTCCACCATTCAATTCATTTGAATCTACTGGTCTCCCATATGAGATTCAGAGGTATGGAATTATTCTTCTGTTTTTGTCTCTTTTGTGTAATCCTGGTTAAGTTACCTGAGTGTTTTGTGCAAAGTTATGTGATTGCTAGAGGTCCAATGTTGAGTTCCTCTTTACAAATGCTTCTCAACAATTGAGCCCTTTTTGTCACTATTCATATTGCAGGTTTTGAGCTTCCACAAATTTCAAGGCGTTCAAACTTTACTCTCGAATGAAATGGTAATTAAATTTCTTAAAATTATAGTTTATTACTATAAAAGATAAAGACTTATTTTCTCAGCATTGTAATCTATGTATGTTTACACATTATCCAACTTGCTTCTACAAAATCAAAATACTTATATCCACCTACAAAATTCTGTTGAAGAAGTGAGATTTTTAAACTGCAGTTTTTCTTTAATTATTCACAAATGTATGTACAAGTTAACGAAAAAACATTTATGCTTTTTTGGTGAATTTAATTTGAATTGGTAAATTTTGGTAACAAAAAAACCTATGATAAATTAAAAGACTATCATTAAATAAGATTTTCTGCTCAGTGTACCTCTATATAGTTCTATTTGAACTCACATTTTTTTTTAATTTAAATTTTATTTCTCTGCATAGTCTGGAAAAATTCTGCCTTCCTAATCATTTCACACAATTTTGTTTAGTTTTAAAAGTTTTGCTATAATTTTCTCTGATAAAAGGACATTCTGTGACAAAAACCAGGATCAATTTGTTTGCAGCTTGAAGATTTCTACTTTCACCAAGTTTATCTCCAACTCCAGGTATTTTCTCCCATTGACAACTTAAAATCAACTGCACTGCACCTCTATACTTGCATAACTCTGTTTTTCTCTCCTCCTTAAATTCATATATGGAGATAGGAAGTTTAAGAATCTTTGTTCCTGCTAATAGGTTTAATAATAGTGACATTTGAATGATCTTTGTTTCCAGGAAACTGATTTTAAAGAATTGTATCTGGTGATTCAGAAAATAGTTAGATTTTTTAAAGCTGACACAGGTTTTTATGAATATCAGGCTTTGAAATACAATGTTGTTCTAGGCTGTCATCTAGATTCCCAATCACATGTTTCCACGGCGGTTTCAAAGAGGTCCTTGAGACGATCAGATGCTGTACTCAGCAGCCACCATTATAATAAGGTTAGGTGTTGAGGTTTTTCCTTAACTTATTTTTCTCTTGGAATATGAAACCCTATGTTTTTCCTGCATGTTGGTACATGTAAATAACACAATGGTTCATAATCTTTTATTTAGAGTTTAATAAATATGATAAAAGTGGATCATAATTTTTACAATAACCTAACATGGCTATTTTTGAAGGTAAGACCGAGCGGCATTCTCTTGGTCACTAGATGCCTTGAGAATTTATAGTCACTCACCCAACTTGGGATTTGAGTAATCATGAATAACTCGATTTTGTGTTACTATGTGATGCGGTGGTGAGAGGACTTTGGTATGGGAGGGAGGACTAGAGAGAGATGTTTAGATTTGAGAAGGGTAATTGGTATTGAAAATTGAGATGCCTATATACCATGGCAGGGTCGGTTCCAGCTTTTCCTTTTCCTTGGTATGCATTATTTGTCCCTTTCTTTTAATTTGTTAGTTTAATTTATTCCTGCAATTTTGTATGAACTATATGTGTGTAGTGATAGATTGTAAGGTGATTGAGATTTGTGCAGGTAATTACTATAAATACAAATGGATGGTGCATACAAATTACTATAACTTCAAGAAAAAACAAAACAGACCCAGATACCAATTCACTTCAGTCCCCAAACATCTCGATCCATTCCAGCTTTTTCTCTTCCTTGGTATGCATTATTCCTCCCTCTCTTCTCTTAATTTTTCTTTTTTGTTTAATTATTTCTGGGATGTTGGAACCTGAATTTCCAGAATTATTGTGATTTTGGAACCCTAATTTGGGATGCATGTAAATGAAAAGTCTTATATATTTGGTCTTTGCTTACAACCTCTCTCTGCTCTTTTTCTCTCTCTCTCTCTCCAAAACTCAATTTCGAAGTTGTCATGCATTTTTTTTTTTTAATTATTACTGTCACCTTTTGATTTGCCTTATGGTTTTATCATCGTACGTCATTAGTTGACTACTGTCTTTGTTTTCTTCTGCAGCATGGAGAGCTGTACAAGGCACTTTCTGCAATTTATTGCAAAATAATGTCAGTTATCCCTTCTTTGGATACAACTCAAACTGGGAGCAAGTCTGGTATCCAAGCTTTACGTTCGTTGCATGTAGCACATGAAAAGTCTAAGAATGTAGTAAGCTTTATTTGGCAGGTATTCCCTCAATATTGCATTTGTAATTGATGCACTTATCGTAACTCTAACTTTTTAAGTAAACAATTATTTTCCCCTTTCTGTTTTGAAGAAATAGAATTCTCTTTAGATGTTTAAATTTGTTTCATTCATGATGAGGTTGTGTATAAATTGCATTTGCATTGGTAACTCAGTTTTTGACTCGAACATTGTTTATAAAGATTGCAGGTGCATAGTCTTTCATATAATTTTCAATCCCGCAGCAACGCGCGGGTGCAAATTCTAGTTGCTTACTAGTTTTGAGCGACACTCCCAAGTTCCAAAGACACGGTGGTCGATGATTCCACCTTCAAAAACTATCTAATTTTTAAAAGGAATATTTTATTGAACTAATATGACCTCACTTTGCACTTACACTTATATATTATTTTTACATATTAATTTTAAGAGAGCATAAAGTAATAGCCTACGAAAAATTACATTATTAGTTTAGTTAAATAAAATTATCATCCTAAAATACTAAATAAAAAGACAATAATAAGAAAAATCAATATTATTATCATTAACGAAAACGTTTTATCCCTAATTTTTAAACGAGTTTTTGTTCATCAATTTGAATGGTTTCTTAAAAAAATATTGGATTGAATTAACTCCTTCATGCTCGACAAGTGACTAAAAATAGGTTATTATGACTTCGAATAAGCCGTTATAGTGAAATCAGTAGACACACTGCTTTTAGGAATTCCTACAAGATTCATTCGTTCTTTTACATCTAATAGATGGTTAGAATTTCATTTGGGTTCGAACCCTACTGAGAGGTCCACTAGTGATGAACAATTGTTGATGAAAGAACAAGATGTTCTTTTTGTCCCTTCCAAGTCCTCTCGATTGATTGGTTTGGACATCAATAAGGGTTTAGAGAGGCATTCCTTGAGCCTTGGGAAGTCTTTTTCACATTCGTCGGTCCAAAGCAAGCGCTTGTTTTTCTTTATCGGCATAAAGAACGGCTTGCACTTGTCTGTGGATTGCGAAAGGAATTTGTTGAGGGCTGCCACTCGTCTTGTCAGGCTTGGTATTTCCTTCATAATTCTGGGCGACTTTACTCCATAATGGCTTTTATTTGATTTGGGTTAGCCTCAATTCCATACTTGATAACCAGACATCTTAAGAACTGGCCCGATGCTACTCCGAATGTGCACTTTTCCAAGTTTAGCTTCATTTTGTACTTCTGGAGTAGACCAAACGACTCTTGGAGGTGTACTATGTGATCCTTCTTCTCTGTGCTTTTGACAACCATGTCGTCCAAGTAAAATTCCATCATGCCCTTGATATTTTCCTTAAAGATTCGGTTGGCAAGTCGTTGGTTTATTGCCACTGCATTAAGTCCAAAAGGTATAACCTTGAAGCAATTGTCCTTGGGTCAATGAGGAAGGATGTTGCCTCCATGTCTGGCTCATGCATTTTTATCTAGTTGTATTCGAAGTAAGTGTCCATGAAGCTCACCAGCTCTTCCTAAACTACCATTGAATCTACCAGTAAGTTGATCTGTGGGAATGGGTATGGTTCATTTGGGCAAGCTTTATTCAAATTTGTAAAGTCTACACTTACCCTTCACTTTTCATTCTTCTTTTGGACCAACACCACATTTGCTAGCCAGTCTGGATGGTGTACTTCGAGATGAACAAAGCATATTTGAGTTTGTCGATCTCTGCTCCTATAATTTTCTTCATTTAGCTCTGTGGTTGCGTTTGTGCTAGGTAATTGGTCTAGCAATTGGGTCTAGGTGAAAGTGGTGGCAGATCACAGAGGGATTGATTCTTGGCATGTCTTTTACTGACCATGCAAACATGTCTTTGTTAGCCCGCAGTAAGTTGGTGAACAATTTTTTCTCTCTATCAGTTAGCTTCAAACCATTCCTCATTTTTCACTCTGATTTGTCAGGTCGAGGCTGATATACAGTGCATCTTCGTCTGCCATTAACTCCGACGTGCTGTTGTCTTAGGGGTCAAGATCTAAGTTGAATTCTTTGTAGCTCATTTGCTGACCCTTGGACTATGGTTGCTATGTTGATTAGTTCATGAAGACACTTGAGCTTCGTTCTCCATTATGGATCATGTTCATACTCTCAACAATAGCATAACAGTGTGCCATTCCCTTACTCTGCTCGGAGTAAGGTAGCGAAGTAACTGTGCTAGATGGAACAGTCTTCATCTTATACAACCAATTTCAACAGATGATGGTGTTGTGGGAGTTAAAGAATCCATCACATGAAAGGGTCATTTTTCCTTTGTTAACGATGTCAACAATCTCCATCTTTTCAGCAGTATCCTTGAAGAGTGCACTAACTTTTGAGCCGTTTTCAACCAGGATGCGGCTTACTAGGGCGTTAGGGATTTGTATTTCGACAACAAAGGCATCATCATGGGGCGAGTGGACATCTTCCAAATCCCAATATGAGAATGGTAGGATATTGGAATCTATGGCTAGTGGTTTGTTAATGGAGGCCACCGTTCTTGGTTTCTTACAAGCCGCCCATCTTTCTTTCCAAGTGTTTCCCAGGTATTCTTACTTACCATATGTAATTCACTCCATAAAACATTCATTCCCTTTGAGACTGGACATGGTGAGACCCAGAAGCCTTCTAGATTTCTTACGATGCTATTTAGGGTTAGGATGTTGAGGCGATTCTTCAGAAGTCAGATCAATTACTTCTGTTATTCGGGTAGCCAATTCTTTGAATTGGGAAATAGTTTCCTTTAGATCTTTGACATGTGCCTTCATGTCGACAAGTCTAGTAGATTTTGTTACCAACGGGCTTTGCCGAACACTTTTCAGAGACAGACAGATTTCCATGACGTCTTTCCACATCTTGTCTATTGCAATGACTCCATCATATTCTTAGTGGATATTGCCTTGGAGGATGGCAAAACCAATATTGTTAATCGAACTCTCAGACATGTAAGTTAGCAAAGTGATTTGGCTGAGAGGAATAAGAGTCCACTCTCAATGAAAGCACCAATTGTTGGAACTAAATTCGCGCACCGCTGTGAGTAGTGGTTGTGCACAAACTCGAGCAATTTGCAAAATAGTAAACAAATGTGAACAAACCCAAGACCAAAGAATGTGTGTGCCGGCCAAAGGCTCTTCGACGGCCAAGTTAGTGAATGATTTTAGACTCAAGTAGTGAGTAAGCGAATTCAAGTGTTTAGATTGCATTACCAAAGATAAACTCTAAATGGGCGTATTTATATTGTGGGAGAGAGCCATTTTTTTAATAGAATCCTCGTTTTAAGCTAGGAGAATCTTAGAGGATATTTAGAAGTATATATTGCACCCTCTTAGGAGTTGTGATTACTTGTGGCCCATGCTAATTCCTAGATTGTAGGAACTCCAAGACTTGAAGTATCTGATTCCATATCCGAATCAAAACATGTGTCTTGCAGTACAAGCATGGTTATCCAGCGACTCCACCTGTTACCCTGGAACAGGGTGATGGTGGCACCGCTGCTCCTTTTGATACAGCTCTGCACGAAGTTGGTGAGTCTATGACTGGACTTTTGAGGTAACTATATTCGGATCAGCTTTATTCCGACCTTGGAAAATTATGGTCCCACAAGAGCCTTTAGCCGATACCCCATTGGTACCCGAGGTCTGACTTCGGTTATTTCCTCTCTTATAAGTAGCCGGACTTGAAAACCTCCTCTGTCCGCGATGGTGCGTGAATTTAGTTTCAACAATGACTGCTTCAAGCCCGGGACAAGTTCTTGGCTCCTAAAAATGCAGAGAAATTTTCCATGCGCTCTAAGAGCTTGGTTGTTTTGTGGCAATACTAACCGACCAAACTTCTTCAGAGCTGTGCAATACCTTCTTCAATATGTTGGATGAGTTATTTGATCCCAACAAAAATCAAAGTGAAAAGTGCTTATGTAAAGTACTACATAAAAGCTAGGACTGCCGATTATGAAAGCTTGGAGATTGCTAGTGCTACACTATATGGAGAATCGCATGGTTGTAACCTGAATTTCAGCATAAATCCCACCAATCAAAGACCCTTTTTCTTTTACGACTCTCTGTCTTTCTCACGGCAAAAGCTAGGGCATAAAATCCCTTTTCTTTTTCTTTCTTTTGTTTTGCACACAGACTTGGGCTAACAAAGACCATTTTTGCAGGCAATACACTTTTAACGTATGGCAAGAAAACATACTTGCATAAAACCTACCTTAGTTGGAGGATCCAAAGCTTCGAAATTACAATCCACCTATTGAACAGAGCTAGTTTTTAGCCATAATAGAATATAGGGCAAAAATTGTGTGATGATAAGGGTTTGGTTATTGGGTATGGGTTTGTGGATAAAATTTAGTTTTATTATTAATTTCATCTTGTACTTGATGGTAGTTAAAGCAGCTAGCTGAATCTAGTGTGTATTTTGTATCTAAAAAGTGAGATAATATTGTTTTGCTTAACTAATAGAACATAAAAATAGGCAAGTGTTCCGTCCCAATTACAAATGACATCAATACGGAGAGCAAAATTAGCACCAAATATGGTAAATAATATTGTCAATGACCAATCCAATCGTCACATTCGTAATAAAAACCAACGCAAGTCTGAAATGTATTAAAGGGAATTGGAAGTGGCCCTTTACCACAGTAGTGGAAAAGAGTCGAGTCTTTGCATGATAGCGTGGGTTCGAACCCCGTCGGTGACTAATCTAACATCTAATATAACAAAATCTATCATTTGGTCGGAAAAAAGAAAAACCGATCAAAATCACAACTACTGGAGAAAACAATAGAGATCAATTGTAACCCCTATTAGGCTTTATTTGATATGTGGCATTATAGTTCCAATAGGGCTGGTGGACGTACAATTCCGTAAGTCCATATTGAATTTTGCAATAATAACCATAGGCCGAATGTTTTCGCCTTAAACATGATATTTTAAACTTACAATATAGCTTGATTCTACCAAAAACTGTATGGTGTTGTAGAGTATAGGATATTTTAAACTTTTTAATTGTTAGAAATTTACTTTTGTGTTTTCAACCAACTAATAATAAAAAAGTCTAAAATATCGAAAATATCAAATACTTCAAGGTACCATAAAATATTTCATGTTTTACTTACTAACAACCACACAATTAACAAAACTTTTCTTCATGAGCATTAAATCCGTTACGCATGGCTGATTACACACATGTTCCTAGTGCTATGTTTTAACAACATAATCCTGCAAAACCATCATAAACCATTTCGAAAGAGCCAAACAACACATCGATAA